AAGAAATTTAACCAAGGAGGTGAAAGACCTATACAATGAACACTAAGACATTATTGAAAGAAATCAATGATGACATAAAGAAATGGAAAGATATCCCATGTACACGGATTGGAAGAATGAACATAGTTAAAACGTCCCAACTACCTAAAGCAATCTACAGATTCAATGCAATCTCAATCAGAATCCCAATGACATCCTTCAGGGAAATAGAACAAAGACTCCTAAAATTCATACGGGGCAACAAAAGACCCCGAATAGCTAAAGCAATCCTGAGAAAAAAGAACAAAGCTGGAGGCATCACAATCCCTGACTTCAAAACATACCTCAAAGCAATAGTAATCAAAACAGCATGGTACTGGTACAAAAACAGACACACAGATCAACAGAACAGAACTGAAACCCCAGAAATAAAACCTCACATCCACAGTCAGCTAATCTTTGACAAAAGAGCAAAGAACATACAATGGAGAAAGGAATGTCTCTTCAATAAATGGTGCTGGGAAAACAGGACAGCCACTTGCAAAAGAATGAAAGTAGACCATCTGCTTTTGCCATACAAAAAAATTAACTCAAAATGGATCAAAGACCTGAAGGTGAGATCTGAAACTATAAAACTCCTGGAAGAAAATGCAGGCAGTACACTATTCATCATTGGTCACAAAGGGATCTTCTCGAATTCCATGTCTACTCAGACAAGGGAAACAAAAGAAAAAATAAACGAGTGGGACTTCATCAGACTAAAGAGCTTCTGCAAGGCAAATGAAACCAGGATCAAAATAAAAAGACAACCCACCAGCTGGGAGAAAATATTTGCAAACCATATATCTGATAAGGGGTTAATCTCCATAATATACAAAGAACTCACACACCTGAACAACAAAAAAACAAATAACCCGATCAATAAATGGGCAGAGGGGGGCCAGCCCGGTGGTGCAAGCGGTTAAGTGCACGCGCTCTGCTGGGGCGGCCCGGGGTTCACCGGTTCGGATCCCGGGCGCACACCGATGCACGGCTTGGCAAGCCATGCTGTGGCGGCGTCCCATATAAGGTGGAGGAAGATGGGCAGGGATGTTAGCCCAGGGCCAGTCTTCCTCAGCAAAAAGAGGAGGATTGGCAGATGTTAGCTCAGGGCCGACCTTCCTCAAAAAAAAAAAAAAGGGCAGAGGATATGAACAGACATTTTTCCAAGGAAGATATACAAATGGCCAATAGGCATATGAAAAGATGTTCAACATCAGTAACCATCAGGGACATGCAAATCAAAACTACACTAAGATATCACCTTACACCTGTGAGAATGGCTATAATCACCAAGACAAAAAAGAACAAATGTTGGAGAGAACGTGGAGAAAAGGGAACCCTCATTCACTGCTGGTGGGAATGCAAACTGGTGCAGCCTCTATGGAAAACAGTATGGAGATACTTCAAAAAATTAAAAATAGAAATACCTTATGATCCAGCTATCCCACTTCTGGGTATTTATCCAAAGAACTTGAAATCAACAATCCAAAGAGGCTTATGCACCCCTATGTTCATTGCAGCATTATTCACTATAGCCAAGACATGGAAGCAACCCAAATGTTCAACAGATGATTGAATAAAGAAGATGTAATATATATATACAATGGGATACTACTCAGCCATAAAAAAAAAGACAAAATCGTCCCATTTGCAACAACATGGATGGACCTGGAGGGTATTATGTTAAGTGAAATAAGCCAGACAGAGAAAGACAAACACTGTATGACCTCTCTCATATGTGGAATGTAAACTAACACATGGACAGAGAGAACAGTTTAGTGGTTACCAGGGGGAAGGAAGTTGCAGGGTGGGCACAAGGGGTGAAGGGGCACATTTCTATGGTGACTGACAAATAATAATGTACAATTGGAATCTCACAATGTTATAAACTATTATGACATCAATAAAAGTATTAGTGTGAATTCATGATGAATTTTTAATTTGGGGGGAAATACAAATACACCACACTTACGTATTTGCTAGCTCTAAACACTGAAAAGGGCTAGAAACAAAGACCACCTTCTAACAAGCAGCAGCCATAGTACCTAGAGTATGGTCTCCAAACACTGTTTTCCAATAAAAGGAACTAGGGCTCCCTGGAGAAACTATGAAATATATAATCTTTATGTTAGATATTAGATACCAAGGAAGCTACTGAAGACTACTAAAGTTGTGTCAAAAGGACTCAAGGCCAACTTGAAGAGGTTCCCATTGGCCAAAGAGAGGAAAATTTGAGCATCAAAAAGAACAACTTTAAAGGGGACGAATCCACCATTTATCATACCTTTCCCATACCTCTAAAGTAGATGTGATGTTTTTCTTTATAGAAGTATTCTAGGGCCGGGCCCGTGGCTTAGAGGTTAAGTGCGTGCGCTCCGCTGCTGGCCGCCTGGGTTCCGATCCGGCGCGTGCACCGACGCACCGCTTCTCCAGCCATGCTGAGGCCGCGTCCCACATACAGCAACTAGAAGGATGTGCAGTTATGACATATGACTATCTACTGGGGCTTAGGGGGAAAATAAATAAATAAAATTATAAAAAAAAAAACAAAAAAGAAGTATTCTAGCTAACGAACGAAGAAGGAAGACAGAATCAGATTATCACCATTTTGCTGTCTCTGACAAACTGACTGATCTAGGCATTGATCAATGATTGCTAGCATCCCCAAAAGAGAAACAATCAGACACTACTGCCTCCTGATGCCAGTAACAACCTACGAAATAATCTTGCCACCAAAAACTGAACTTGAAGCTGATCAAGCCTCTGGATTCGACTTTCAATCTATAGGAAATATAGAGAGAGGAACAGGTTAAACTACACCATGGACATGTAATAAGCAAAATCCAAGCAGTGAAAAATCCCACAATGAACAACCCAATTCCTCAAAAAAAAAAGAGAAAAAGAGCCTAAATCTATAGGATGAGAGAGATTAAAAGATCTAACCACCAATTTCAATAAATTGGCCTTATTTGGATTCTGATTCAAACAAACAGTACAAAATTTTTAATTTTTTTTTTTTTTTTTTAAGATTTTATTTATTTAATTTTTTCCCCCCAAAGCCCCAGCAGACAGCCGCATGTCACAGCCGCACATCCCTCCAGTTGCTGCATGTGGGACTCGGCCCCAGGATGGACGGAGAAGTGGTGCCTCGATGCGCACCCGGGATCCGAACCCGGGCCACCAGCATTGCAGCGCGCGCACTCAACCACCAAGCCACAGGGCCGGCCCGGAACAGTACAAAATTTTATGAAATTATGATGCAATTGACAACTGAGTGGATATTTTATATTAAAGAAATGTTTTTTAAAAACTTATTATAAAAATTCTCAAACATAAAAACAGAGGCAGTACAACGAACCCCCATGTACCCATCGACAAGCTTCAACAACTCAGCACCATCCTTGTTTTTCATTTATATTCCACCACTTTTTTTTTAAACTGGAGAACTTGAAAGCAAGTCTCAGATATCATATTATTTCACTCAGAATATTTAAGTATGTGTCTCTATCAGATAAGGACTTTTTAAACAGAAAAATAAAGCTATAATACCATTCACACCCAAGGAAATTGTCAATAATTCCTTAATATCATCTAGTATTAATTTTTTTAGTTATTGTAATGGTTAACAAGAGACTCTTAACTGAAATATTTACAAATGAAATGATAGCTGCGATTTGCTTCAAAATAATACGGAAGGGTGCTGTTGGGTGGATGAGGCAAGACTGGTCATGGATTGATGGTTGTTGGTGCTTCATAAGTACATGGAGTTAATTATACTATTCTGTATATGTCTGTATTTGAAATTCTCCACAATAGCAAAAAATAATAACCAGAAAATAAAAACCTACTAAGTAAAGTCAACTAAGACAAGTTAGCCAAACTTTCAAGATATTTTTACTTAATATTTTAATTCAAATTATCAGTTGGAATTTTTATCAGGTTGGTAATGATATTATAATTAACACAAACATAATCAGCACATAAAAGCTCAAAGATTTCTTATAAACATATCTGTTAGAATCAGACATGAAATACACTAATAGATTATGCATCTAACACTTATTTTAGCTTGCTTTTCAAAAATCAACGTTCTAATTTTTAAAAGTTTAGTTTTAGGCTAACCTTCGATATTTGACAGTGTACATGTTGCAGGTTCCATAAAGACCCCTTCTTTCCTGATAACAAAACCCATTTTAGAGAGGATAAGACACTACTGTAGCCCCAAGGGATAAAACTGTTTGATCCAAATTAATCATGATATTCTTATTCCCTTGCATAGTGACTGACCTAGGAATGACCATGTGACCCAGTTCTGACGAATGAAATGTAAATAAGTCTTCTGATTGGGATGTCTGGGAAAGCTTTTACTTTCCTAATTAAAAAAGGAAGAGTCTTGGGTGGGGGGAGGGTGGAAGGGGTAAAGGGGTATAGTGATGGATAAAAACTAGACTTGGTGGTGAACACTACACAGTCTATACAGAAACTGAAATATAATAATGTACACCTGAAATTTACATAATGTTATAAGCCAATATAACCTCAATAAAATAATTTTTTAAAAAAAGAGGGAAGAGTCTTGGCTGGATAACTCTTATCTCTTTGACTTCCTAACTAGAATGTGGATGAGAAGGCTAGAAATATAGTGGCCACCTTGTGACGAAGAAGCAACAAGTATAAAAATAAAAGCCAACATACTAAAGATGGTGGAACAGAAAGATAGCAAGAGCCTGGGTCCCCAACTACAGAGGAAACAATTATACCAGCTCTGGACAGTCTAGCCCCTAGATTTCTCGTTATAAGAAAAATAAACTCCAATTTGCTTAATCCAGTACAGTAGGGTTTTTGTTTCTTGTAGCTGAACAAATTCCTGATACAATGGAATATATCAAGAAATATAAGTAAGAAAAACTGAATCAAAAGAAGCACCAAAAATGTCCACTTCATAAGTGCAAAGGGACTAAAACAAATCTAAGTTAATATAAGACAACCAAATTCGGAAAAGGAGAATATTTATTATACAGATATTAAAATCTATACATTCTTAGCTGATGATATATACTTGGTTAAAAAGTCTTTTACTTTGGATATATGCATCATTTCCTTCATTGTGGTGTCTCTACTTCTCAGATGTATTAATCCATTCTCCAAAGTAGCTTCAGTAATCAAAACTGTGAAGAGGATACTCATTTCATCATATCTAAGAAAAAAAGTAAACAAAATACATGAGCACAAATATAATCTGTAAATTCACCACATTACTAGCTTTAATCACTTTAGAGTCCATGCCACATTCAAGAGTCACAAAATTCAAAGGCATAGCTTGAGGGCTGGATCAAAAAAACCTTTTTTCAAGTTTCTGAATCATATTCAAAGGAAAATTTTCAGAAAGTTTCTGACTTATTGTAACAGCTGAAAAGTCATAAAAGAAAATAAAACTGAGAAATAAACACTGGTATCTCAACCCATCATTTGGGGTGATATTATGGATGAAACTCAGAATAACCTCAGCCTTTTGGTACTTGGATACAATCCAAAAAAAAATTATTTTAGACTCATGTCTTTTATTATACTACTATAATAAAGATCCAGTGTATAACAACTTATACCAAAATCATCCTTAATATATAACTTAGTATGCTAACTTATACAGTTGTCCCTCAGTATCCACTGGGGATTGATTCCAGGACACTCCCCCACCCCATGGATACCAAAATCCGTTGATGCTCAGGTCCCTAATGTAGCATAGTACTTGCATATAACCTACGCACATCCTCCATCTACTTTAAATCATCTCTAGATTACTTATAATACCTAATACATGCAAGTGGTATTGAATAGTTGTTATACTGTATTGTTTAGGGGATAACGACAAGAAAAAAAGTCTGTACGTGTTCAGTACAGACACAACCATTGTAGGCCTTTAGATCCATGTTTGGTAGACTCTATGGATGCAGAACCAGGGATTTGGAGGGCTGACTGCAGTTTCCAGTTCAGCAATAAATGAATATATCCACACTGGCCTTCTTTCTGCATATCCAGTCACACTATCTCAATGTTTCTTTGCTTTGTAGGACTCCATCAGAAACGATCTTATTTATCTATTTACTTGTTTATTGTCTATTTTCTCCCACTAGAATACAAGCTGTATAAGAACAGGAAACTTTTCTGTCTTGTTTACTGCTGTATCAAAGTACATAACACATCGTAGGCACTTAATAAATAAATATTTGGATAAAAACATCCTGGGACAATAAAGCCTTTACCATATAAAGAACGACTGTAACTTGATAATGTCCACGTGATTCAAAGATTAGGATTTTAGAACCCAAAAGGACTGGAAAGTTCAAGTACCACCCCTTCATTTTATATATGATGAAACCATTAGTTGCTTTATCTATAGAAACGTCCTTTTCTTCTGACATCATCTGAAAGGTATATTTTAACAAGTTACTAGAGAACTGAGGACCAAAACACAAAGCTTCACAACTTTTCACCTAAAAGATATACATTCAATACAAAAATCTAAAGAAATAACAAAATAAACCCAAAGGTGGGAAGAATGAATTACTTTACCAAAAAATAGAAGCTAGTGAAAAAGCAGGGGGTAAGACCAGAGACAGCGAGATCAATTAGGAGATTATTTCAACAATCCAGCCAAGAGATACTGGTGATCTTAACTTGGGTAGTGGCAGTGAAGATGGAGAGATATGGATCTGAGACATATGTAGGAGGCAGGATGACAAGATTTAGTGATGGACGGGATGTGAAGAGTAAGGAAGAGAGAGGATCCAGGTTTCAGTCTTGAGCAATACGTGAATGGAGGTGAAGATCACTGAGAAGACTGGTTCTCTGTCCTCTTGGATGGAATTATCTTCCACTCAGCCTCAGAATGAACCACAAAGCCAGCAAGGAAAAGGCACTCCACTCAGTCCTGATTCAACAAATGCGTCCAATATACATAATTCCCACCCTGATAAAATGATCAACTCAGGTACATATACTTCATGCTATTAAGTCTTAAAGTTGCACATAGTATGCGCTCAGATATACCTGATGAATATTGTTCCCTGCTGTAGCAGTTAACTAAGGGCACATGGTTCTATAAACAGGAAAGTTAGGAATAATTTTTAATTATATTATATATACATTTAGAAGAGATTTGTTACTCATAAAGAAACATCATGTGATCAAAAACTGAATAAACACAGTTTTTTAGTTACAAAGACAATTCTTACTTTGAATACAGTTGTTCCGACGAGGACTGCACAGTTTCCAAATAACCAGGCCACACAGAAATTCCACTTTCTAGTAATTCATTAAATAGCCCTTGACAAACCTGGGGAAAAATACAAAAACTTCAAATACGAAAGAAAAGTAGCCAGAGTGTTTACCCTATTTTTGCGAAACCACAAATCACGTTTCAATTTTTAAAATGGACATAAATTTCTTTAACTATGTGATCATATCATTTATAATTTATATACTGTATACTTATAAATTGTATAATTCCTCTGAAAATGAGGAAATTAAGCACTGTGAAGCTGAATACTAAATGCAGATCTTCTTTGAGAGCAATTTTTCTGCCAAATATAAGAATTTTTAGGGGCTGGCCAGGTGGCATAGTGGTTAAGTTCGCACGCTCCGCTTCTGCGGCCTGGGGTTCTCAGGTTCGGATCCTGGGAGCAGACCTATGCACCGCTCATCAAGCTATGCTGTGGCGCAGCTCCAGATAAAGCAGAGGAAGATGAGCACAGATGTTAGCCCAGGGCCAATCTTCCTCAGTGAAAAAGAGGAGGATTGGCAACGGATGTTAGCTCAGAGCTAATCTTCCTCACAAAAAAAAAAAAAAAAGAATTTTTATTATCTAAAACACAAACAAACAAAACCAAACAGATTCTATCAGAGAAAAACAGAAGTCCAAAAGGGTATGTTAACTCTAAACTCATCTGAGAGTTGAGAATTGAGCCCTAGGGTTATACTACCATGTCAGGAAGAGAAGGAAGAGTCAGTTAAGAAACTGAGCAGAATTAGCCAGAAAAGTAGGAGGAAAACCAGGAGAGTGGTATTCCTGAAGCCAACTCTTGAAAATGTTTCAAGAACAGAATGATTGATTCATTTCAGTGGAATGCTGGAGACAAAAGCCTGACTGGAAATACAGAAGTAATAATGACTAAACGACTTAGTAAACTTTACTGTTTTCTTAACAAGCAATGGTGAAGCAAAACAAAGCAAAATTTAAAACACCCTTAACAATCTAGAACTAAAACTCTAAAGCAGGATTTCTCTCATTCCGCACTGCTGACGAAGGATGTTTAACAGCATCCCTGGCCTCCAATAGATGCCTGTAGCACCCTCCTCCATCTCTGGCAACTAAAAATGTCTCTAGACATTCCAAATGTTCCCAGGGAGTGTGGGGGTGTAGGGGGTGCGCCTGAGCTACAGCACTGTTTCTCAAACTTTCACTGGCATCAGAATCACTTGGAAGGCTTGTCAAAACACAGACTGCTCAGCCTCACTCCCAGAGTTTCTGATTCAGTGGGTCTGGGGTGAGGACCAAGAATGTGCATTTCTAACAGGTTCTCAGGGTAAGACCATAGTGAAGTAAACGGGCATCAAAGTACTTGATATTTTGGGGATAGATGAGAATATAGATATTAATAAATCTAAGAAATTAACAGGGAAAAATAAACATGAGTTTTAATAAGTTAGTGGTTGCCAGCAGAAAATTTGCTCTTTCTAATGGAAGGCAGAAAAGGAGAGAAAAAGCTCTAAGCATAATTAAACGCTGAAGACATGAGGAAATGAGAACCCTCACACTATGGGTGAGAGTACAGATAGGCACAGCCAATCTGGAGAGCAACCTGGCCGATACTGTGAAATTAAGGATATATATTCATTTTATCCAAAAATCCCATCCCTGTGTATATAACCCACAAAAACTCTTGTATAGCCCAGAAAGTTACATGCATAAGTATTCTCTCCATCATACTGCTAAGGGAAAAAGTTAAAAACAGAATAAGATATATAACACACTATCCTTTTGGTAAATTACAAACATTCAAGGCACAAAATACTACAATATTCTTTTAAGAAAACAAAAACAAAACAAAAAAGGTCTGCAATTGTAATGACAAAAATCTAGGGGGTTGAGTTCTTCTTTGTTCTTTAAGCAAAAAACTCTAGGAACTGGCTACCTACCAGGGTGTTGGGTGGTCTGCCACAACCCTGGGGGAAAATCTGGAAATTAAGCCATTATCCTCCCTTTCTCTGAGCTCACTATCCCCACCTTCCCAGACCTGTCCACAGGAGTCCTCGCAGAAAGCTGAGAGACTTTCAGTCTTTAAATCTTTCCAGTGTCCTCCTTCACTCAGGTCCTGGATGGGTCTGAGTCACCCAGACAGAAATGACTGCTAAAAGGGTCTCTGGAAGGAAATTAAAACCACCCTCCTAGCTTTTCTTAAGAGTAATTAGACCAGATAGATAGAAAAATCAAAACAAGATTACAGATCTACAACCTGTGTTTATACCAACAAGTATCAAAAGTGTTAAGTTAAAAAGAGAAGGGGGGAAGAAATAATTCACTAGACATCTGTACAAATATTTTGATTACCAAAACTATGCATACTCACTTTAAAAATGCAACTATGACCGGGCATGACGTTAACAGCAAAATCTACCAAATTGTATTCAGCTTCTTTAATATACTGTACTTCAAATTATCTATAACTATCCATAGTATTTATCCACAGTTCATTATTTTATTAAGATTTTTAAAAAAGCAAATGAAGCAAATAAAACTTTAAATGGAAAGCTACTCATTTACTTGGAATAACGGTTATAATTAAAATCATGACATTAAAACTCATTGAACCCACCTGTCTTAGTTCCACTGTTGGGCCTCTTCCCACATCCAAAGCAACCTTAATAGGGGCTAAACAAGGGTGAAGTTTAAGTACCTAAGGCAATTTAAAGAGAGGGGGAAAAGGACAGCACATCTTATTTAAATATAACACAAGCACTAACAAACATAGAGCTTCCTATAGTTAAAATTTTCTGTGTGAAAACGGAAGCTAGCTGAGGTCATAAAAAACCACGTAATAAGCTATTCAGCTGTCTATATCCAGCTGCTCATGGATTTCTCCACTTAAGAAATTCTGCAGAAATAAGTTCCCTGGATACTCACCCATTTTCCGACAACCCCATTTTCCCTCAGGCAAAATGCCCCTTTCTAAAAGGCATCACTGCCATCCCTACCCAGCCTGGGCCACGTGGCTTATCATTTGGACCTTCTCTCGCCCAAACCCACAACTCTTCTCATACATTCATCCATTTATCAAACATTTGAATGGCTCGTTGGTGCCAAAAACAGTTCTAGGTGCTAGGGACAAAAATCCCTGTCCCTCATGATGGAAAGAAACAAAATAAATAAGTAAATAGTGCTTAAAAAAAAAAGGGGGGGGGGAGGAGAAGATAGGAAGTGCTGGTCAAGGGGTAGGTTACGGGAGGGCTGTTAGCAATTTTAAATAAGGTGGTAAGAGAAGGTGTCCTCTCTGAGGTGACATTTGAACAAAGACTTGAAAGGTGGCTGAGGAACAAGACTTGTGGATACTGGAGGAAGAGCATTCCAGGCAAAGGGGAGAACAAATGACAAGGCTCTGAGCTGGGAGCATGCCTGGCATGATCCAGAAACAGCAAGGAGGTCCGTGCTGTTAAAGTGGACTGAGTGAGGTAGAGAGAGCAGTAGTAGGAGGTCAAAAAGGAAAAGGTTCTGTAAAACATTTTAGGGGCTTTGGCTTTTCCTTTGAGTGAGATGAGGAACTTACTGGAGTGTTTTGAGCAGAGGTGCAAAGTAACATGTACCCTTTAAAAAGAGCCACTCACTAGGGCGCGAGGGGATGATAGTGGCTTAGACCAGAGTGGAAGCAGTGGAGGTGGTAAAAGATGGTCAGATTCAGGATGTATTTTGAAGGTCAAGTCAAATAGGTTTTGCTGATGGTTTGGATGTGGGGTATAAGAGAAAGAAAGGATCACCCTTGTTTGTTTGCTATATATATACTACAAATCCCAACCCCAGAACAATTCTATAATCTGACTTTCTCTATGGCCATATCAGGCTAACTGAACACTGCATAATAAATCACTTAACTATGCAGTGTTGCTACAAACTCACGGCTGCCAATCCCAGTTGAGCACCCAACATGTTAAAACTTTTGATTTGGAGCAGCTCCCGTTCACATTCAAGAGGAAGCTGACTCACTCTTGCCACGTAAACCCCAACTCCTCCACATTTTAAGCTAATAATCTTGCCTCCTAATTCCCTAAGAAAACAGAGGGTCTGAGTAAAACTTCCTTCAAAGGCTAACACACCCTGGTAGCCTATTTATATCGTTCTCCCCTGCTGTTTCAAATAACTCCCTTTCAAGACCAATCCTTCCACTTGTATTCTTGATCCTGTTTTGATTCCCTCCTGTTTCTTCCAAAATCTTGCTCTATAAGTCATTTCTTTTCTCTCCAATAACTTCAACCCCTCCTCTCTCTTGATTCTGAGCCTATAAAAATGCTCAAGCTGCATGTCCTAAAATAAGCCTTTCCCTTGACTCAGGCCCATATCTAGTCCCTGTGATTCAGTGATCAGCCATTGGGGTCAGACCAGAAGCAGACAAGACTTGCTGGTCTGTCTTACTCCTACTTAACACTCAGCTTCTTCTTTTTTTTTTTGGGGGGGGGCTTATAAACAATAGAAATTTATTTTGCACAGGGCTGGAGGCTGGAAGGCTGAGACCAGGGTGCCAGCATGGTCAAGCTCTGGTGGGAGCCCTCTTCTGGGCTGCAGATGGCCAACTTCTCATTGCATCCTCACACAGCAGAGAACAGAGAGGGGAAGCAAGCTCTTGCGATGTTGTATAACAGTCACAAGCTGTTGTCTCAGCTTCTAATATAAACGGGAGTCATCAATTGAAAGGCTCAGGGGCTAAGAATTAGAGATAGCTGTCTAGCCGCCTACGATCAAACAGAAATGCCTTTGGGACTAACCAATAGGGATGCCTTGTTCTATTCTGTGAGAACCCACTTCTTAGTCCTGCCGCCAGATTATAAAAAAACTGAAAAATACTTAAGTTACTTGCACTAAAATAAATTTATTACTCAGAGTTTGTTAGAAACCAAGCATACTAATATTAAAAAAGGGGGCAGGACATATATTTTAAGTTTCCCAAGTCTATCTCTGAAATATCAAAAGCACCTTTCTATGAAGATTTTTCTTTCTTGTAAAGGAGTTATCTGTTAGCTGGAAAGAATCGTAGAGGTAGGCCAGCATGCCTCGGTCTAGATCTCCACGTACAGATAAAACAGAAGGAATCACACTTTTTCGTCCATCTCGGCCCTTCACAGAAAAGTAGAGCAAAAATAAAGTCTCATTTAGCAGACTTAAAATCACGTATTTTAAACTTATAGAATCAGAATACAAACTGATCAATAAATCTAGAAGGAATGATAAAATTAATTTTAAAAATCACCATTTGGAAAACCTCACAGTAATAATGATTTGGGCAAGAATCATCAATGGATGCTGTAACGAGTAGGTCAAAATTTGGTGAGAAACAGGTTATTTACACAGTCTTAAAGTATCTGCCCACAAAAGACTTATTAATTACTCATTGCAAAATACTTATCAGTTTTACAGTGGAGAAACCTGGTAGAAACCTTAACCAAGTGATAAAAGTTAACATCACCAATAACAAATTGATGTTATATGCCTCCTGATATGATGCACTGAGAAGAGGGCGGCACCATTTCTGTGGTATTCTTAACAAAAATACATGAGGAAACATCAGAGAAACTCAAACCAAGAGACATTCTACAAATGTCTATACTCTTCAAAAATGTCAAGGTCAAGAAAGACAAGAAAAGATAAAAGGAGTTATTCATTTGAAAGAGACTAAGGATACATAACTACATGAAATATGTGATCCAGACTGAATCCCGGACCTACAGAAGACATATTGGGATAACTGGTTATATCTGAAGGGTTCTGTGGATTGGATGGTAATAGTAGATTACCGTTACTTTCCTGATTTTGATGGTCGCATTGTGGTTATGTAGGTGAGTGTCCTTGCACCTGAGAAATACATACTGAAGTATTAAGAGGTCATGGGGCACCGTGTCTGCGGCTTATTCTCAAATGGTTCAGAAATAATCAGAGAATCTGAGTAAAGGATACACAGGAGCTCAAGGTAAAACATACGTGTAATTGAGACCCATTTCCAGGATACATGTGCAAAAGTTCATGATCTCCTAAATTCCACAGGGTTTCTATTGGCTCCTTTCCCCAGGGAAAATTGTAATAAAGTTTGTTTCCTTTTCGTCCCTCTTCATCCTGACAATCGCTGCTGCTGAAGTTAGATGGACTCATGGCAAACTGGAAAAAAAGTTTAAGTCTGTCTTATTAACTTATTAAAATAAATGTTAAAAAGTAAAGTTGCCTGAGATTTTTTATGCAGCAACTGAATGAAACTGGTCAAGTCCCAAATAAAAATTGTTAAGTTTAATTAACTATGAGTGAATGTACTGCTAAAAATACTGTTTTTAGTCTGAAAGAACTACAGAGAAAAACAGTTGATGCTATCTAGCCTTTTTGTGGTCAATTAATCAGAGGGGAAGGTAACCATGAACTAAGTGGGATAAAGAAGAAAGTATCATATACTCACCATTCTTATCCTTCTGTGAAGAGCTTAATTATTTGTGATTATTCCATTTAGTTTAGGAGGGTGTTTGGGGATTTTAAGAGTTGGAGAAAGGTAAGACAATGGCGAGACAAAAATGCTTTCCTCAACTCTTTTCTCTTCAGCATATACTAAAACTTGATTGTAAAGTACAGAACCAGTTTGACTAATATGGAGAGTTCATGGAGGTAGGAAGCAAAAGTTGAAGGTGTATGAGTGGGAAAGGGAAAGGGTCAAACTCTACACCAGCCAGGGATGCCAGGTGAGGGAGTTGAACTTTACCTTGAACGTAAAGACTTATCAACAAAAAGCTTCTGAGCAAAAGGGAGATAGCAAAGAATGTCTTAACCAAAGTAACTGTTATATGAAACAACAAAAATCATTACAAAGAGTTTTTTATTTGTACTTGTTGATTTATTATAGCTGCCTCATAAATACAGCATAGCTACACCAAATAAAATTTCATTTATTATAGAGAAGTATTACCTTTGACACACTAAGACAATTTACCTATTAACTATTAAATTAAGGGTAATTATTGTAGTACCTTTCTCCACCACAGGAGTCGATGACGTAACCAGAAATCAAGCCATTGGCTTGCAGTTCTTGCTGAAGTAAACCATACCAGTGAAGCTTCAGTCTTCTCACCGATTCTTTGGCTATCAGAAATACCAGATATTACTTATTTGAAAATTATATAATCTATCCCAAAGTGAAAATGACTGGTTCTTGACTATTTAAATACAAAGCCAAGTTATTTGCCATTATTTGGTACCTTTTAACACCATCAGGTGTCTGCTTAGTATCAGAAACAGGATGAAAACACACTCCAATCTGAGCAAGGCCAAAAGGTAGCCTCTTGTTTACCAGATCCAGGCAATTAACATAGTGTTCCAAGGCACCTGTCAAAAGATAAATCAAATCTATTCTATAAACCCACATCATTTTGGTCAATTTATAGACAAATTACTACTACTAATAATGCTAACACAGCAGTACAAGTAGCATGGAGCTATTAAGGTAGATCTTAATTGATTACAACTTAATTTTAGGTAGCTTCCCTCCAACTTCTTAGTTTGAAGATTTTCAAATCTCCAAGCAAACTGAAATAGTACAATAAACACTTGTAAACACTTCACCTAGATTCACCAATTGTCAACATTTTGCCACATTTGTTTTTTCTTCTTCCTCATACATTTCAGTATGCATCTCCTAAAATTAAAAATATTCTCTGTATACTATGCACTATAAAATTAATCATATAATTTCATCTAACAGATGGTTGATATTCTGTTTTCTCTGATTGTCACCCAAAATGTCATTTATTGCTGTTCGCTTTCTCCCTAATTAAGGTTCATGCACTGCATTCTGATTAGGTCTCTTTAATCTCTTTGAATCTAGAACATTTCCCCTGACTCCTCCCTCTCTACCTTTGCTTTTAATGATACTGACTTTTGATTTGAGTCCAGGCCAATCATAGATTATCTCACATTAGAGATTTGTCTGATTGTTTCCTTATGATTTAACTTGGGTTCATTATTTTTAGCAGGAATAAATACTACATAGTTGATCTGCATGTCTTTTTTTTTTTTTTGTGAGGAAGATCAGCCCTGAGCTAACATCCATGCTAATCCTCTTCTTTTTGCTGAGGAAGACCGGCTCTGAGCTAACATCTATTGCCAATCCTCCTCCTTTTTTTTTTTCCCCCCCAAAGCCCCAGTAGATAGTTGTATGTCATAGTTGCACATCCTTCTAGTTGCTGTATGTGGGACGCGGCCTCAGCATGGCCGGAGAAGCCGTGCGTCGGTGCGTGCCCGGGATCCGAACCCCGGGCCGCCAGCAGCAGAGCGTGCACACTTAATCGCTAAGCCACGAGGCCGGCCCGATGTGCATGTCTTATTGCATCCTAACAGGAGGATCATAATATCAAACTACCCCACTATAAATGAAACTAAATTTGATTACCCGGTTAAGGTAGTAAACAGCTATTCCCCAACAATATGCTGCTCCCCAACAATCTTCCACCCAATTTTTTAGAATCCAGTGATGATCCTTGCTTGAATCAATTATTATACTGGGGATTGCAAAATCATAAAATAGTGATTTTTCTAATCTACCTTTCCTTCTACACTTACTGTATAGCTTCTGTAAAAACAAACTTTCTCCATCTCCTCCCTCCACTGGCAGCCTCAATTACTTATTTTTTAAATTAACACTAAGGATTAAAATTTTATTTAATGTGTTAATGATCCATTACCATCAACATTTGTTTTAATGTTCAATTGGTCCCAAATTTAGCCAGTGGGAGTTTCCTTCAAGCCAGCACCTGTGTCCTTCTGACATGACCCCACTAGTCTTCAAGTAATTCTTTGCTTTCTAGCACTATAAACTGTCCCAAACTCACCTCGTACTTTCCCTGCTCCAGACCTGGAATCAGCCATTTCTCCAAGCACTGGTTCATTTTAGAAACCAAATTCTGGGTACTAGGTGTACTCACTGCTATTGAGTGTAATTGCTTCTAGGCCCTCTCAATGAAGAAAGTTAGGAAATACATATTTTTAAAAAATCATGAGGTCATATTGTCAATTCAAATTTAACATTACAAAGTTTATCCCTGCCTTCGTTTTTTTTTTTTTTTTGAGGAAGATCAGCCCAGAGCTAACATGCATGCTAATCCTCCTCTTTTTGCTGAGGAAGACCGGCGCTGAGCTAACATCTATTGCCAATCCTCCTCCTTCCCCCCCCCCCAAAGCCGCAGTAGATAGTTGTATGTCATAGTTGCACATCCTTCTAGTTACTGTATGTGGGACGCGGCCTCAGCATGGCCTGAGAAGCGGTGCGTTGGTGCGCGCCCGGGATCCGAACCCGGGCCGCCAGTAGTGGAGCACGAGCACTTAAGTGCTAAGCCACGGGGCGGCCCTATCCCTGCCTTCTTTTACATCTGTATCTCTTTTCTCTTACAGTGAAAATCTTGGAGCCTAATAACATTAATCTATCCATCTATTTGCTTTATCTTATAATATATATGAAACAGCTTCTGAATTATAATTCCAACATTTCTACTTATTTATTTTTTCAGGGTGAGGGAGACTAGCCCTGAGCTAACATCCGATGCCAATCCTCCTCTTTTTGCTGAGGAAGTTTGGCCCTGGGCTAACATCCTGCCTATCTTCCTCTACTTTATACAGGACACCGCCACAGCATGGCTTGACATGTGCGCCCGGGATCCGAACCTGCGAACCCCGGGCCGCCGCAGCAGAGCTCGGGCACTTAACCACTACGCCACCTGGCCGGCCCCACAACATTTCTACTTAGAATAAATATAAGTTCAAGACTTCTTTGTAGTTCTTTATGCACTTAGATTATATCCCACTAAATGACAGCACTGTGTTCAAAAGTTACTTGAATTTGAGATTTCCACTTCTGGTAAGAGTTGACCAGCTTGTTGATAACAAGAAAAGCCGGTTAAAAAACATTAAAAAAAAAATCTGTTTAAAGACATAGGAGAGCTATCAAGGCAGTAAGTACTTGAGGGTCCAAGATTTGGAGAAAAGGGAAGAGCAGAGGTGAACCCAACACTTAGTGCTGCTTTTCCAATTCTCAAGCAGCAAAGCTGAGAAGTTGAAATGCTGAGTAGAGCTTCCAGACATGTTATGAGACTGGGAAATACAAAAATTGTAGTTCCTAGCTCACCAAGGAGGAGCGGCCCTGGTAAACAAGACAGCCTCTCACGAGGGACACTCAGGGACTACACTCTCGGAGTAGAGGCGAAAAGACTGAAGCCCAGCCCCCAATAAACTTAATCCCGGATTGTATTAAGAAGATATGCTCCCACTCTAGCGGCCTACCAAAAGCAAAAGTAAACCCTCCCAGGAAGAAGAAAATGCCACCCAAAGCTTCAATTTATCTCTACAATTTACACACAAATTACCTAGAATATCAGGAGAAAAGTCCAAATGACCAAAAGCCCAGAGAAAAACAGATATATCTGAGTTGCTACACAGACTAAAATGTGATTAACGTGTTCAAGAAAGTTGATGACAAGATGGGGAAAAGGTCTAACATGTATAATTAGTCACAGAAGAACAGAAGAAAGAGAATGGGCGTTTACAATACTTGGGGACATGACTTAGAATTTTACAAACTACTCATAAGCAGAGGCTACCACAGTAGTTCAAACATGGAATAAAGAGAGCAAGGGCATTGGGCATAGAGAGAAGTGGCAAACTGATTACTCTAAGCTCAACACTAGACAACCAAAGGATTTGGCAGATAAGGGGCTTAAGTTTCCTAAAGGCAAGAAAATATCTGGCACATCAGTAGATGCTTTGATGAATTGACATCTAAGAGAGCCAAGTTTCATTTTCCAATAAAGAAGAAAAGATTGACTTGTTTTGGGACATGATAAGGAGCAGTGATTTAACTCTCCCAAAGTAAAGCCATTATAGGATAATTGAAGTAGTACAAAATTGTCACCTTTATTCACAAGTTTTAGTTTGCTTTATTTGGTTAAGGAAATCTTTAAAAAGGTTACAATATGGGTACTAATTTGCAAAGAACCATGGACATTGGTTATTTTAAATTACTTTATGGTACCACTTAATGAAAAATGGCAAGGATAGCATTTTGCAAGGATCAGACGCTGTGGCAGCAAGTCTGTCCTGTAAAGAACCTTAATTTTTTTTTTTTCCAGAATCTCCGCAATCATGTTCTATTTTACTTTAAAGGTAAATGGTGCCCTACAAATTTCTGTGTATTCACTCAGGAATCACTTATAAAGCTTGATTAGTCCTATTATCTTGCAGACTCAAAAATTACCTAAAGGGCTCTTCAAACAACAGATTGTAGATCAGTTTTTAGTAACCAAAATTTGGGGGGAGGAAGGGGCATTTTCTTTTTGCTCTAGAAAAATGAGCTCTTGGTTGGTCTATTGTGTGTAAAATTGTAGAGTAACTCTGGAATATTCATAAACATCTTAGTAACGACGAACAAATGATTCAAACACACGATTTAATTTAGGTCCTAATTCCAGGGCTGCTCAATTGAACTCTAAAATCCTAGCCCCGTGAAATTGAGAGCGTTACCAGGTCCTTCGGCCAGATTCTTTAAGGAACAGTAACGATTCCATGGACCAGTTTTCTCCAGGGTAGACGCACTGTAAATAAACCCAACTACTTCAAAAAGATGAGAACCAGATAACTTCCTTTCCACGTGAATAAAGGGCCAGTTGCAATTCGCGAAATCGAGCGAGACTGCCTTTCCACCCCGACACCTATTTTAAAGCATGAAATCGTGAAGCGTACCGTGAAGAAGGCTCTCCCGTAGCTTCCCAGAAGTTTTTAATAAGTTCTCAAGAAATGCTACTAGCTGTTCCTTACTCAGCTCTTTGTCTTGCAAGATTTCGCGCAGCGTTTCCGCAGAAACTAACCTGAAGGCACTGTCCCCGGGCAGAGAAAGGCCTGGTTCATGGTGGAGGGCGTCCACCGGGAAGACCTGCTCCCTGAACACTACCACCGAGGACCACCATTCCGCCGCGAGGTTCTTCCGCAACTCTATGCCCAACGGGCCAAAGCCGGGGTGGCACCCGCTCAGAAGAGACTCTCGGCTAAGCTGCCGCTGGGTGCCGCTGAGGAAATGCCTTCTCTGACAGAGCTCCACCAGCGCCTCGCTGCCCTCGCCACCGGACTCCGGGGCTTCTCTCGGCTCGCTACCCCGCGGCAGCTCCTCGTGCGAAGTCAGGGGCCCTCCGAGAGAGCTACTCCCTTCCATCAACCGGTCCCGCCGCCCCCCATCTACTCGACCCCCAAACCCAGACAACAGGCACCTGCAGACTTTCTGGCAGGCCCTGACGGCTGCACCAGAGCGCATCGCCCTCGTCAGTTAAGGAGCACAGTCTATTTGACGGCTGATCCCAATAAACCGCCACAACTCTAAGAGCCCGAGAGCCAACTGCGCAGGCGCGACGGAAGTGAGAGTGCGCGCGGCCGACCCCACCCACGGAAGCGCGTCACTGTTCTGGCTACGGCCGCCGCGGGGCTTCCCCGCCGGCCGTGGAGGAGGGCAGCTCACGCCTCTTCTCCCCTCAATCAAGCCTGGTACCCTCATATTGTTCTTCATCTGACTTCATCAGCACGGGTAAAGGTCATTCCCATTTACTTTTCAGCCACTGTTCAGTCAGCTTTACTTTCCTTCCTAATGGACATCAAAATACTTCGGTGTTCTCCAAATCACCATTTAAATACACCTTCTCAATCTTAAATGTTAACGAAAAGAAACTTTGGTTCCCATTTTTAACAAGTTCCTTTATGATGGCTTGGAGACCTAGGCCTTCGTTGTAAAGCTGGTAAATGCTGCCGCCAGCATGCCTACTCACAGCAGTTCTCCTGGGAGTGTGGGTGAGCTGTGACGGGGAAGGGGTATGGTCCCTACACATATTGGAGTGGTTCTCAAACGGCAGTCCTCGGCCAGCGGGTGGCCAACAGTACCTACCACTGGGAACACTGGAAACAAACCGCCGCGAGGAGCCCAGCATTGTAAACATGCCCTCCAGGTGAATGTGGAGGCACACTGCGAACCACTAGCGTATAGTAAGGTCTTCTACCAGAGGATCCTTCTAAAGGTTCTTATCAAAACATGCAACCTTGTGTGATTACCTGTTTAAAATGGAGATCCATGATTACCTATCAGGCTTGTGACTTTATCTGTATTTTAACACTTAGAGCCCTTAAGAAAATTGCTCAAATAGTAAAAAAGAGGTACACTCGACTGAGGAAAATGGTTGATTTCAAAGCCCATGATTCCTTACTTCTAACTTCCCTTAAAGTGGTTAGGAAAACTTGAAGATTAATCCAGGTGAAAGGAACAAGCTACTAGATTCCACTAGACTACCAAGAAGGGGCAGTTTATAAAAAGAGGGTAATAGCTTAGCAATTGAGCTAACATAACACAGGAGCAGCTAAAATTTTTCATCATGTGTAAGGTGTTGTGAGAGGCTCAGAAAACCCTTCTATACAAGGACATGTGCTCAAGTTTGTAAAAAGAGAAACTAGAAAATGAAACAGTGTTGTTGGAAAGCCATTGTTAGTCAACGGCAAAACTGGGCATTATTAACATGGTGTTTTCCACACTCAGGAAACACACACCAGGAGAGGCCTACACACAAATAAATAAAAGAGAGAATGGGGAGAAAAATCACATTTATTAGTGAAGACAACCACAGGCTGGACACAACACACATGCTAAAAAGTGGACTGTTTTTAAAAACTTACTTCAAAGGTAAATAGGTAATGTTTTCCACAGCCCCACAATCATTTCAATAAATGTTTACAAATTAAAGGCCCAAGTTAGACATTAAACAGTAAAATATGTAATAAATACTCCAACCTACCCCAAAAGCTTCTTATAAGTTAAAAGTCATAATGAATTTGACTATCCATGCTATTGAAAACTCTTCAGTTACTAGAGAGGCTGAATGAGTTTTCAATGTATTAGTCCTAAAAACACCACTCCCCATACCCCCCCCAGGCAAATTCTAGTTTGTTTTACATTTTAGGATGAGGCATTAACACCAATTAAAGCCTCAGTTTAATAATCAGAATTTAAATGAAGTCTCATGAAGACCTCTCCTCTCCTGGCAAAAAGTCTGGGAAGACATTCCGACTTACTTCTAGCCATTATTCAAATAAAGGATTAGAAAGATTGGTGAGCCGAAGTTAAATCTAAAGCTACCCCCTGGGATCTTTCCAGCAATAAACCCATGTTGACCCTAACAACATGACTAGTACTACAGTCACTGTGCTTTTAGTTATGTTGCTTCCTCTTGGTTAACCATTAATTTTGATGAGAATTTCTTTTTCCTGTGTTCACTTGAACATGAGTAGACCTTACAGTTTGAAGTCCTCTCCAGTTTCCTGAATTATTGGAAAAACATTCATGACTCCCAGTGTGACTACAGTTAAGAGTCCCAGGAAGCCTGTGAAGACTAGAATCTATATATAACCTGCACTAAGAACACTGAAAACAAATCCAAACTTAGCTCTTGGCCAACCACCTTAAAACGTGTAATAGTCTTTTAGCTTTGTTCAACATTTCAGTAATTCACAATACAGCCAAGAGCATAAATATAATCTCTTTTGAAAAACCAAATTACTTGGAGCTTTTCAAATTATAAATTTTGCAAAAGGAACAAAGTCATCCATGTTGTTCTCACATTAAATAGTCTGAAGGTGGGGCTACACAGTTGATTATTTCCTATTGTAATATCTCATTTCACCAGTCTGCTAATACATAGATTAAATGACTCACCTGATGTTGGGAGGTACTAACAGAAAGCCTTTATGCAATTTAGCCTAGAATTATAAATTTACCTAAATCAATCCCATTTTAATGCTTGCAATATGAATATAGATAATTGTAGGGAGGGCCTTCTGATCTCCCCACTTTCCAAAACTAAATAATGGAAAGGAGCAGTCAACTTAGTTTTTATGATTAAAAGACAGACCATCTAAGCAAAGTTTCACATGACATTATATATTGTAAAATAAAGTACAATTTCCACTTAATTCAGTCTTCAAATATTTTTTATTGGAAGGCCATGCATTGCCTTCATTTATTGTATTTCAAATCACTGTACATTTACTTTTGTGAAAACACTGCCTGCATTTTCTAGTACAAAAAAAACCTAAAAATTGTTTCAGGAATGTAGAGAAATATTCAACTTAAATAGCGAAAAAGTGCACCATAATTACTGCTGCACTGCAGTCATTTCTGCATTTCCCATGTTTCTTAAATAACTATCTTGTCTGATAACACACAATATAAAGAGCAATTATGAAAAACAGACATTTACATATACCTCTAAAGTCTTACTGAGAATATCCTGTTGGCATTGGATAACCAATCATAGGCGCAGCTGCAGTAGCAGGATATGCATATGCCTGTTGGTTCATACCATTGTGTATATTTGGAACATTACTTCCATATTGCTGAGTGCTATCATAACCATTCTGGTAAGTCCCTGTTGGGTTACCAGTCCTAAAACTGGTCTGTATACCAGCAGACACAAAATTACTTCCAAAGCTCCCATTGGTGTAATTTGCAGCACTGTAAACACCATTCTGAGTTTTTGCCCCAAAATCTCTCTTTAGCAGACTAGAGTAACCTCTGTCATAATTTTCCCTGTCTCTAAAGGTATTAAATCCACCCCTTTTGCCTGCAGAATATCTGTCCCGACGGTCATCCTTCATGCCTCCTCTACCCCTGGAACGACCTGTCAAGAAAAAGAGTAATTGCAAACTGATTATTTCTATAGCACAGTTCACTACAAACACAAAAGGAATCAAGCAGCTCTAGTCACTATAGGTGTGTTTTCTCAAACTTAGCTTCACACTGAAGATTTTACTTACCGGCCGATCCTATTTAAATGGATTTGTAGACAAGTATGTGACCCAAAACCACCAACATTTCTTATCGAAGGTTGGTCTTACCTGAACCTCTGTCTTCGACCAACTGAAGCAACTTGGGATTAATTGCTTGATTAGCTTCACGAAGCACAGAGATAAGGTCGCTCACTTGCTTTATGTTATTAGGTGTAAAGAAAGTGTATGCTGTGCCTGTTTTGGTACTGCGAGCAGTTCTTCCAATTCGATGAATATAATCCTCTGAGGAGTTAGGGTAGTCATAATTGATGACAAATTTCACATCTTCCACATCTGTAAGGTGTTGCAGTGTGGCAAAATAGCAATGTACGGAGTTTTGCACACCACAACAGCCAGACCAAAAATAAAAAGTTAGACAATTGTACTCCCAAGAAGGTACGGGCTGCAAAAAATACAGTTAAAATGGTTATCCATTCCCTGTAGGAATACCATTGAGGTTGAAAGAAAGAGGGGAGGGGGGGAAAAAAAAAAAAAGAACACGTCAGCCATACATCTCATTACCCACCCAGTGACAGGGCATATCAAAGAGATGTGTATTCCCTAAAACATTCCCAAATCAGCAAGTCCCCTTACAGATCATCAAGTGACATCTGAATGCTTCTGCGCAGTAGGGCCACTTAAAGGTTCACAGCAACCTCTTCATGTGCTCATTTTGAGGACCTTTAAACAAAAATGTACATGGTCCTTTGCATTACACACTCATCAGAAGTTCAAAATTCTGGCCACACTGCTTGTCTTGCCAAGACCTTACAACCGCAGCTGCAAGAAAAACATACCTGTCCCCCAAAAGTTGTTTTTATGCACTGTGTCTCGTCTAGGCAAGCGCTTCCAAGAAGCCAGGATTCACTTGAGAATGTGTCTCTCTCTGGCAGGTCTCGACATGACGACTACTGTGTAGGTGAGGGAGGAACTTTCAATGCAGTGCTTTCTTTTCCCACTGACTAAGTGTGAGAAGTTGCTCCTGCTCTAGATCTCATGTGCCAGTACTCACCAATTTGTAAAAGGCTTAGTACCTTTTAAAGCTGCTCTCTCCATTTCAAACTTGAACAAAAATTTCATTGAACATTGAAGTTTGGAAATATTTCTTCAACATTTCAGCAAACTCACTGAAACTCAAAGACCCACAGATCACAGTCAAGTCTGAAACAATGCTGTACCATGGCAGTCATGCAGAGCATGGGACAGAAGGAATACCACGGCAGTGAACTGTGAGGATAACTTCCATTTTTTTCCCCCAGAGAGAACAGTTTACGGGGCAGAGGTGGTATGTTCTGCCTTTTGAAGATTACTGGCACACTTTCAGCTTTTCATCTCTCTAATCGACTGGAAGCAGCCAGCCGATCACTAGTCCTCCATCCCCCTCGAGTCCTCCGATTGTCATGCCTAGGCCTTGCCACAAAGACTGCACCTTTATATGAAAAAAACTTAGAAAAAACGCAGAGGTTAAAGAAAGCAATAAACTTTCTTTAAAAAAATTATATGGAGATCTTCTGGGAAACCAAGCCATGAATTCGAGTTTGTACTAACCTAGCCCTCTGGAGGCCACATCTGTAGCAATCAGAATAGGAGCTTTTCCATGTTTGAACTCTG